CGAGCGCAGGTGAAGCGGCAAGGGGGAAGGCGACGGCCCTTCCACTTGCCGCCGCAGGCGGGCTTGCTGTGGTGCCGCCGCGTGCGGACAATGTGGGCGCTCGGCTCGTCTCCCCCACCGCCCCACACCCAGCAGTGCAGCATCAGTCTTCACCACCCCAACACGCGGCCCTACCACCACCACCAGCATCGCCGTCGCTGTTGTCGCCGTCGCTGCCTGGCGACAGGCTGGGCGACAGGAACGCGTTAGATCAAGCGGCTATTCCTCTGCTCGACGTGGCGGCCGCGCAGAACAGGAAGGCCCAGGAAATTGCCGCCGCGGTCACGCCAGGCGCTTCGGTCTCCGTTGCGGCCCGCGCGCGTGGCGGGTTGTGGAGTCCGCTGGGCAGTCCCGCGGGCATTAGCCCGCACGCGCGCCTGTCCAGCAGCATCGCGTCGCAAGCGGGCTACATGCCGAGTCCTGATTGGTCCGCGGGGTATCTCACTCCCATGATGCCTAGCCCCGACCCCCGCGCTGCCTTCCACCATCGTCCCCCTCAGGGCGCGCAGCCCTGCGCGATCGGCGCGTGGACAGCGGGCGGCGCGCATCCGTCGAGCGCGGGGAGCGCAACGAGCAGCAGGGGCGGGAGTCAGTGGGATGACGCGGTGGCGCGCAAACGATCCGCGTCGTCGGGGGGAATGGTGTGGGCGGAGGAGCTGGAGGCGGCCGTGAGCGGCGCAAGTGGCGGGGAGGGGCAGCGGATAGCGGACGCCGTCGCAGCGCTGAGGGGAGCTATGGAGGCGGAGGCGGCGCGCAGGCAGGGGGCGTTGAGTGGTAAAGCTGATGAGACGGGGGGACGCCAGGACGGGAACGAGGAGCAGAGCGAGGTGAAGAGGGGAGGGGAAGACGGGGATGGGGAAGGAGAGGGGAGAGAGTTGAGCGGAGGTGTTGCAGCAGCGGAGGGGAGCAGCACTTGCTACGGGGAGATTGGTGGGCTGGGGCCTGGGCGGGATCATGGCATGGAGCACAGCGAGAGGGGTGTGAGCTGTGAAGTGGGCGCACTGGGTAACGAGCGCAGAGAAGAGTCACAGGGTGGTGAGGCGCAGATGCGGGATGGAGGGCAAGAAGGGGCGAAGGACAGGCCCGATGATCTGGTGAGGGAAGCGGGTGGGTTGGGAGCGGCGGGAGGTGGGGCAAGTGCGGAGCAGAGTGGGGGAGTGCAGGAGCATCTGGGCGTGGTGAGGGAGGTGTCACGCGAGTCATCGAGCGCGCGCACTATGCTGGCAGACGCAGGCGTGGCGGAGCTGCTGCTGCAGCTGCTGGATGACCGAGTGTACCCGGCACACGTGGTGAGCACGGCGTGCCTCATCACCCTCAACCTCGCTCTGGAGCCCTCCCTGAAGCGCAGGCTGGGGGGCGAGGGAGCCGTGGCGCAGCTGCTGCAGCTGCTGCAGTCGCGCGAGGAGGGGGTGAGTGACGCAGCGGTGGCGGCAGTGAGCAGCCTGCTGGCGGAGGAGGGCAACCGCAGGGTGGCAGCAGGGATGGGCGCCACGGGGCTGCTAGCGGAGGTCGTAAGGGAGGAGAGGAAGGCGCCGCGTGCGCGCAAGGATGCGCTGATCGGCCTCTTCAACCTGAGCATCGACCCGCACTCACGCGAGGCTGTGCTGCTCAGGCACGACCTTGTCCCGTGCGTGCTCACACTCCTGTCGGACCCTGACTGCAGCCCTGCACATATGCCGGCAGCTGCGCTGCTGTCTGTGATGGTGCGCATGCCTGCAGTGTGCCGTGTGGTGGAGGGCAACGATGGAGTGCCGGTGCTGGTGCAAGCGCTGGAGGACGGTGAAACAGCAATGCAGGGCCACGTGGTGGCAGTGCTATTGCAGCTCGCACTCACCATCACCGCCACACGGCAGAGAATTTTCCAGGAAGGCATCATCCCCTCCCTTGTTGTGCTTGCTGAGGGGTCGACGGGCCGCACTCGAGACAAAGTGAGTGCAATCTGGGCTTTTACTCTACTCTCCTGAGTTGTGCTTCACATACATTTGCAAACCTAGTGTCTGAAGTTGCACGCTCCTTCCAATAATTTCCCGCCCTCTCAACCAACCACCCTGAGCAGGCAATGAAGCTGCTGGCCCTTCTGCGTGCATGCGAGCAACAGTCACGGCCATAGCTACTGCCTGGGCACAATCAGTTTTGTGGCAACACATGTCTGAGTTGGTAACCTGTGCATCTGCGGCACCTATGGCATGGGCCTAGTGCTGACCTGACCCACACGCAGACTGACGATAGACACCACCTTCGGTGCAGGTATAGTATAAACTCTGAGCCATGGAATCCTGGTAGGCTAGGATGCACTCCATGCCACATGAATGTATGCGTGTGCAAGGAGAAGAGGTTAGAATAGAAAGTGCCAGTAGAGCTGGCATGCTTGTGAAGTCAATAGTTGTACAAAATGGATTTGCAATTTTAGTCAGTCATGTGAACCCATGTCTGTGCATTTGTAAGGGTTCTGCAAAAGAAGTAGAAGATCGTTTAAATACAGTTTCATCCTACCGTACCATATTCCATTCAGCAAGTAGAATATCTGAACTGGCAAATCATATCATTTTCTTGCCTCGTTGTACCGTTGTGGGTCCATGCCGGATCTCCACGTGGCGGAGATTCAGGCTCCGCTTTAGATGCCACGTATACTTATTCAGCCACCTCATTTCCAGTGCCATGGGTGGAGCGAGGTTACAACCTCCAAGAGCAGGGGAGAGGCAGACTGGCAAGTGGTAACCCTGAGATTCACACCGATAGTCCGTTCTGCCTCAAGAACGTGGCTCAAACCACCAACCAGCATCCACATGCGCCACGGATGATCGCCAGCTCAGCCTGGCGACATCCAGATTCATTTCGTCTTCTCCCCCTGCCAAGACCTTGGAGTCGTCGCGCGGTGGTGAGGGTGAGGGGGAGAATTCGAGGCAAGGAAATCTTCCCCTGGCATGACAGACAGGCTGAAGTTGCTCACGATACTCCATAACTTCCTGCAGGTCTGCGACATATTCGCTCCCCTGCTTCGTTGCCCTGTCAACCCGAACACACAAGGCTCGCGCCATGGCAACTCTGACCAGTTCAGTTGTTCTCCACAGCGCGCCATGCGCTAGAGTGCCTTCCGTCGCGGCGCAACCCTCTCTGAAGTCGGCCTGCTCTTTCTTGCCATCCAGAACTAGCCTCGTCTCCTTTTCCACACAAGCACAGAAATGCCAATCTGTGTCGACGCGAACCACGAGGTTTCAAGTTCGGGCAGCAGTTGCGGAGATCACGGAGAGCGAATTCACGGCGAAGGTCCTCGAGGCAGATTCTCCAGTGCTGGTTGATTTCTGCGCTAAGTGGTGCGGCCCGTGCCGACTGATCGCGCCTGTCATGGAGTGGGCCGCCAAGGTACGCCCTCTCTCCTCCGCTCCAACTGGGCTGAATGCGTCGTTTAGGCACGCGAGGCTGCTTGCCGTGTGGATATCCAGGTCGTATGCATTCTGATTTCGTATAAAGCAACATCTTCAAGAACGCACTGTTTGAAGTCCAAGCGAAATGAGCACTGCATGCGTCAGTACTCGTCCGCGCAGCATTGCCGTATGGCTCGTCTACCCAGGAAGGGGTCGCTCTCGATGCCGCAGCTTAGTTGGCACTTGTATTGTTGCCAGGTTGACGGAAGCTACCTCCCTTTCGCGCGTCTACTTGTTTTATTATTCTCCATGCCGCTTCCTCTTACGCCCCCTCCTAGCACCACGCTTGTCGACATCTATCCCACTAGCTTCGTCGGTACTCTCTGCGACACCCTTCCCCACCTCCCCACTCCCCCTCACTCCTGTTTCCCTGCCCTGCCTCTGCGCGCCTATCCCAGGAGTACGAGGGTCGGATGCAGGTGTACAAGATCGACGTGGACGCGTGTCCGAAGCTGGTGGAGAAGTACAAGGTGTACGGGCTGCCGTCTGTCGTCATCTTCGAGAAGGGCCAGGTGGTTCCCGGCGGACACATTGAAGGCGCGCTCACGTCCGCCAAGCTCAAGGGCATCCTCGCATCCACGGTGCCCGCGCTCGCGTGACGCGCGCCGCGCGAGGCCTAGAACTCCCAAGGTGGTTGCTGGGCTGCAACTCGCCCTCCATCAATATCGATTCGTTCGACTTGTTTTATTGTGTTTCTGTGTTTATTTTCTTATTCTGTAATTTTCTTCAACTCCGTTTGCGTTTCAACTAGTATACGCTGCTGATGTGCAAACATGCAATAAACTGGCAAGAGCTTACTGTTTCGAAGGCTGGCACCTGCTTCCTGAGACACAAAAGCTCCGGTGATGCAGTTTGTTGGTACTATAGTCCCATTTCTGATTGGTGATTGATGTGATTTCTCATGCCAACACCCGCTGCAATTGTTATGAATGAACTTGCAGAGTGAGCAGAATGGTTGAATTACTGCATGACGAGAATGGTTGAATACTGCATGACGATACTAGGTAAGTAGCGAGCCTAAATAGGGGAAAGCTAGCTAGGCTAAGAGGTTGGGGGAGGGAGGCTCGGTGATGGTTGAGATTGGTGTGGAAGCGACTCGGGAGTGGTTCGGTGCAACGAAATAGGCTGAACAATTTCGTCGCGTGACCCTCTAGATAACCTCACCAACGGGTGCCTCAGTAAGGATTTGTAAATCCTTACAGCAATGGCCCCAACACAACAACTTGACACTCACACTTGCCGCAACTGCAGTCGTCTGTTGTCACAAGCACAGTCAACACAGTCCACCCATACGTCACCTCTCCACACTACAAGTAACTCAGCCAAATTGACATTGTACCCTAAATAGAGACACTACAAATTGTGGCTTTCACCCAAACAATGGGGCACTGGTGACCTACCCTACCAAATGCGAGTAGCTACACTGGGACATGAAATGCCGTAGCTCAATGCTAAGTGTACACATGATGCTTCCACCACTACCTTTTCAAGCCATCGCCTCTACCACTTTCAGCAGTGTCTTCATATACCTGAACTCTAACTTCCCTTCCCACCTGCCTGTGCCAGCATCTTCTTGACAGTCTCTATCTCCGCCAACAAGGACTCCACATCCCCTCGCATGCCTCTCAACTCCTCCCCACCCGTCTCTGCCGCATCCAGCTGCGCCTTAAGCTGGGCGGCCAGGGAGTGCATGCGGGAGGTGGCCTGCAGCACTTGCTGCTCACGCGCTGCCACGTGTGCCGCGGCATCGGCTGTCAGGTTGTCAGTGGCTACCTCCTGGACCGCCTGTGCCAGCGACGCCAGCGACTCGTCTCCACTCACCAGCCGCTTGCCTGGAACACAACGCAGGGGAGGGACGAGCAGCACACGGAAAGCAAAGAGCAGCACCATTCGCAGAGCGAATGGAACGAAAGATGCAAAGATGAATGGCAAGATGGGGAAGCGAAGAAGACCGCCGCAGAAGGATGAGATGAGAGAATGGTTGTTACAGAGGGAGTGAGAGTTGCAAGGCCAAGGCAGGAGGCAGAAGAGGAGAAAAGCCAGGGGGGTGAGTCGAAGAAGAGATGGCGGACCGAAGTGGACGAGCTGGTCGATGGTGGCCTGCGTGACGATGCTGCTGCCACGCTCCCTGAGCAGCATGAGCCCGCCCACGGCAATGCGACTGGCGGCACTGAGCTCCATCTTGCACACGTCCAGCAGGTGCTGCAGGTCCTCCTTGGTCGCCTCCACTGTCACCTGCCTCACCACACGCACAGAGACGGGGGGAGCCACACGGTTGGTTGTGCCACACAAGCCCATGCAGTCATGCTGTGGTGTGCTCATGCGGAGAGGGTAGGAGGGGGTAGGAGGGGGTAGGAGGGAGCACAAGGCATGGCGTGTGGCATGCGTGCAGCAAGGAGTGGGGAGGCACTGACCGGTTCCTGCACGGCCATCTGCACGCTCCTCACCACCCACGCCTCCCCCGCCTCACTGCCCGCCCCCGCCGCTCCACTGCTGCCAACACCCAATGCGCTGGCAGATGCAGTGTCGGGTGCAGCGGGCATGGACGCGAGGCGCAGCTCCAGATCCAGCCCACTGCGCGCCGATGACCCTAGAGGGCCTCCCGCTGCTGCTGCTGCACCTGGTGCTGCAGGCGCTCCAAGGGACGTGTGGTGCGGCAGGGGTGCGTCTGAGGCGGAGCGAGAGATGGGGCGCGAGGAGGGCGAGGCGGGGTGTGTGGAGAGCTCGAGGGAGGAGTCGGAGGCGGACACAGACACAGCAGAGGGGCGCACGGACGGCGAGCAGACTGACGCTTCCGAGGCGTCGAATATGCGCGGCTTGAACGCCTGAATGCCCTCCACTCGGATCTGCCACGGGCGCAGGCAGCACAGGGGAATGTGGAGGGGGTGTTGAGCGGAGCATTGCAAAGGTATATGCAAGGAGGCGTGCAGCAATAGTGCGCTGTTGGAGCAGCAGGTTGGTTTGTGAGAGTGGTGAAGGATCAGGCGGCAGCAGAGGAGTACCAGGATGTTGGCCACGGGGCTGCTGCCGGGAGCAGGCGGGGGGCGGTGCGTGGTGCCGGTGCGGCGGTGCGCATCGTTCAAGGGGTTGCTGTGCGCGGACACGCGGAACATGCGGAATGTGGAGTGCCATGACAGGTCCTCGCGGCGCTGCACGGCGTGCGCTGTGGTGGAGGGCAGAGCCACGAAGGCCTTGTGGGCGCCCTCGAGGGCGAAGAGCCAGTCCAGCAGCTGCACGTCCACGTCCATCTCCTGCGGTAGCGCCACCTCCCATGCCGCCGCCGCTGCTGCCGGGTCCGCTGGCGGAGCTGCTGCATGGACGAGGGGAGTTGACATGGTAGAAGCCGTGTAAGAAGGAGATGTGTGTGGGAAGAGGCGGGGAAATTGGGGATTTGTGGGGTGGGAAGTGGGGTGGGAGGCATAGTGGGGCAGCGAGCATGACATGGTGGGTGTGTGAGTACGGGTGGCGTAATGAGGGCAGAAGCTGCGCAGGGTAGCAGTGGCACAGAGCAAGGGGCGGGACACACCTGGCTCGTTGGTGCTGGAGGCGAGGAGGAAGCGCAGGGCCTCGCTGTGTTGGAGCACGTCCAGCAGGTGCACGATGTGCGCCCCCGGGCCCCCCGTGGTGCCGTCCAGCACACCAAAGCGGCGCAGCAGCGCCTCGTTGTAGCTCCACCCGCCGCTCAGCCGCACCCCGCCCACCTTGGCCTCCACCGTGAGCGAGTGCGACGAGGCATCGTTGCTGTCGTATGGCAGCACATGCAGCACCGACAGGTGCAGGAACGGCAGCGCGGACGCGGAGGCGGAGGGTGAGCGCGTGAGGGCGAAGCCTGCGGCGGAGGAGGCGTCGGGTGCGCTCATGGTGCCAGTGCGCGCCAGGGCGTCCATGTCACTGTCCCCGTCGCCCGACCACAGCACCGCCCGCAAGCGCGGGGGGGCAGCACTGCTGCCGGGTGACTGCAGCCCTGATGCAGCAGCAGCTGCTGCCCCATCTGCAGTCTCTTCTGTCTCCACGCACTCCACGCGAATGCTCTGCCACGTGATGGTGGATGACGTGGCAGCAGCGCCACCCAGCGACTGGTGTGTCACCTTCGTGCTCATGCCGCGCCCCACCAGCTGCGACAGCACCGCACCCTCGTCACCAGCGCTGCTGTCGCCTGTGTGGCCTGATTCCAGCATGCGCAGGTTGAGAGCGTCCACTGCCAGCGACACCGCACTGTCCCCCGGGGCCAGTGCAACCAGCTCTGACAGCGCTGACGCCGTTCCCCCCCCTGCACCGCTGCCACCGCTGCTGCTGTTCTTGGCAGGTTGAGATGCGGAGGCAGTTGGGGTCGTGGCGGAGGCGGCATCGACGAGAGCAGAGAGGCCCTTGGAGGGGTCGGTGACGCGCTGGTTGCCCTTGCCCACCTTGACGAGCGCACGGCTGACCCGCGTGAGGTAGTCCGCCATGCGCAGCACAAACAGCAGCTGCACCCGCGACGTGTTGCACGTCACCTCCTGGCTCGCCACGCCCAGCCGAAACGTGCCGCCCGGGGGAGGCATGCGCGCGATGGGCTTGCCGTCGTGCGAGAGCATGGCCATCTCGAGGCGCGGGTCCTTGATGCACACACACTGCAGCTGCTGTGATGCCGCCGCTGCCAGGCGCGACTGCCCCTCGAATGACACCGGTGATGATGCCCATGCATCATCGTCATCCCCTCCACCCCCCCCTCGCATGCTCCCTCTCCCCCACCCTGTACTGCTGTCGTCACCCCCCTGGCCGTCCCCCACGTCGAGGGAGACAGAGAGCAGGTCGGCCCACACGGCGAGGCGCATCTGCCCCGCGTCCACGGGCTGCCCCGGCCACAGAGCAAAGCACGCGGCGTCTCGCTCGACGTCGAGCAGGTCAAAGGGCATGAACGAGTCCAGCATGGCGCTGAACCCCCCCACCTGCACGCGCGCCCCCGTGAACCGCGCCTCCTCCCCCGCCCCCCCTGCCGCCGCTGCTCCCCCCTCCCCTGCCTGGGAGGGCGAGTCGGCGTTGGCGGAAGCGGCAGCGGCGGAGGGAGAGGGCGGGGCGAAGGCGGCGGGGGGCACAGAGAGGGAGAGGTGCAGCCCGTCCAGCATGAAGAGCAGGTAGCGCAGCGCGGGCATGGGGGGCGTGCTGTCCGCCTGCTGTACCATCAACCCATCCGCCACCAGCGATGCTATGCGGAAACACGACTCCTCCTGTAGACTGATCTGTTGTGGGGGTTTGGTGGGGGAGGTGGACAGCAGCAGCAGCAGCAAGACTGGTGTGAGGTTTTCATGGTAGGCAGGTTGTCAATCCAATGGCCTGTGCAGCATACGCTGCCACACACACAAACGAGCACTCAGCCTTAACATCCTTAAGTCTCTTCCCCTCCCTCCCCAACCTAGTCTGTCAGCCCACCACTCCACAACTCCCCCGTCCCCTTTCACTCAGGCATGCTGCAGCAACGGCACCTGCAGGGGGTCGCAGCGAATGACGAGCTGCGAGGCGACGGCGGGGGGCGGAGCGGGGGGGAGGGAGAAGGCGGAGAAGAGGCGGAACATGGAGGGCGGGGGCAGGCAGTGGTCGTCTGTGTCCACGGGGTAGATGCGCGGCCACACGTGCTCGCTGGCGAACGATGGCACGCGCTCCACGTCGCTGCTTGCGTGCTCCTGCACCGGCTGCAGCAGCGCCACTGGCGGGTCCGAATACGTGTCCCTGGGGGTGCACGGGGGTGGGGAGGGGCGGACAAGAAGGCCGGCTAAAGGAAGGTGAGGCGAGAGTTTCTTCGGAGGGTAAAGTCCAGTGAGTGGGCGAGTGGGTGTGTGTACAAGACGGAGCAAGGGTGGGACGAGTGAGTGGGAGAGAAATGCAGGGGTTTGGGCGGAGGTTGCAAGAGAGTTGAGGTTGAGAAACGGGCAGAGGAGAGGGGGAGTGGGGCAGGTGAAGCGGGTGCGTCAGAGGGGAGGGGTGAGTGCGCGGGTGCATGTGAGGGTGTGCAGCACGGCACGGGGCTCACTTGAGGAAGAGCTGGCCCAGGTAGAGGCGCACCATGTTCGCCAACGTCGCACCGTCCGCCTCAGAGGCACTGCCCTGCCGGGGGACATAGGCCATGCACATGTGAGACGCGTTCAGCACTCGTGCATCCAATCCTGTGCGTACGGATGGTGTGGCAGCGCGGTTGATGCAGCAGGCAGGGTGATTTCGAGAGTGGGGGCCGAGTGGAAGGGCGAGAGGGGTGCGAGGCCTCACCTGCACGTATTTGAGTGACTGCAGTATTAGCTCCAGCTGGTAGTCTGATGGCCATGGCACCATGCACGCGTGCACATGCACATGCATACACACATGTAAACACATCCCGTGCATGCACACGAGAGGGTGCGAAGGTGGGTGAGAGGGCATGCAGTGCGGTGGAGGTGGCAATGGAGGCGGTAGTGAGTGGAGAAACCACACTGCTGGCCGGGGCACAAGTCACCGGCTCACCCAGGGCATAGGAGAGTATTCACATGGAGTGAGGGTGCTGAGAAAGTAAGAGTGTGAGAGTGTGTGTGCATTTGAGTGTGTGTGTGTGTGTGTGTGTGTGCAACAGTGTGTGTATGTGTCTATGGAGCGAGTGTGTGATTGCACGTGCGAGTGTGTGAGTGTGTGCGTGTGTGAGTGCGAGCGTGGCAGGGAGCCCACCTTCCTCCTGGATGCGGATGAAGAGGCGTTCCAACGTGAGCGAGATGAGCACTCGCCCTGCTGTCTCGGGTCCCTGCCACGTGCACACAAGCACGGGAGCACGTTGCATTGGCACTTGAGATGCCTTGAGAGCAAGATCATGGAACATCATGGCAGAATGGCGAAACAAGCTATGGAAGAAAGCTCACACCAAGAGAGGAGGAGAGGGTGGAAGAATAAGGAAGAAGGAAGGAGAGGGAGGGATTGGGAGGAAGAGGGGGACGGGGGGCGAGGGAGGGGTGGGCGACTGACGACTTGGCTCATGTCGGTGAGGTCTGATCGCAGCAGACACGCGTACATGCCCGTCATGAACCGCATCAGCGCTCGCAGCCCTGCACTCACACCACACCGCACACAGCACACCCAGCACACGCGGCACACGCAGCACACACAGCAGCACACACGGCACGTAGGGTCAACTGCAAGAAACATGTGGGCATGTGGGCATGTGTGCATGTGTGCATGTGTGCATGTGTGCATGTGGTAGTGGGCATGTGTGCATGTGGGCATGTGGGCATGTGGGCATGTGTGCATGTGTGCATGTGTGCACGTGTGCATGTGGGCATGTGTGCATGTGGGCATGTGTGCATGTGTGCATGTGTGCATGTGTGCATGTGTGCATGTGGGCATGTGGGCATGTGGGCATGTGGGCATGTGGGCATGTGGGCATGTGAGCATGTGGCATATGACATGTGCATGTGGGCAGGGCCTGTGAGGGCATGGAGGGCATGGGGGCATGCCTGGTTCAGTGAGTGCGGGCACGTTGGCCTCTGACAGCTGCATGTCCACCTCCAGTCCCAACGGGTTGTTCAGCTCCGTGCGATGCATCGTCACCTGCTCAAGTGTGCACATGCACACACACATACACACACGCACACACGCACACACACACACACGCACACACGCACACACACACATGCACACACGCACACACACATACACACACGCACACACACACGCACACACGCACACACACATACACACACGCACACACGCACACGCACACACGCACACACGCACACGCGCACACGCACACACGCACACATGCACACGCACAAACGCACACACGCACACACGCACACACACACACACGCACACACGCACACGCACACACGCACACACGCACACGCACACACGCACACGCACACACGCAGACGAATGGGGTTGCATTGAGAGGGCAAGTGACGCGCATGCAGTGAGATGAGGCGGTGGGAGATGCGGGAAGGGCTTGCAGGGCAGACGCAGAGGGGCATGGTGACGCAGGGAAGGCAGCAGAAGGGCAGAGACAACAGAATGCGAAAGGAGAGCGAGGAGGGGGCAGGAAGGGCGCACGTAAGCCCGGCCTCTGATGTTGTCCACGAATCGCTCCCCTCCAAAGAAGGCCCGCTTGGCCCCGTCGCCATCGCGCTCCTGACCCTCCTTGCTGGAGTTGACCTCGAGTGACGCATGGAACATGTCGGGGTGCGGTATGAGGTCTATTGACAACGACTCCCACTCCAACAGCTGCCATGCACACATGCATGCATGCACCCGGGCACACAAGCACCCATGCACCCGTGCGTTCATGCACACATGCATGATTCCATGCATTTATGTGGCACATTTGTTCCCATGCAGCCATGCACACATACACACAGGCACAGTTGAGTGGAGGATTGGCATGAGCCGGAGAGGGATGGGCATGCATGGAGATTGGGGCTTGAAGCAATGGATTGAACAAAGGGGTAGAGTGAGTGAGCGATGTGAGGCGAGACGAGGCGCGGATGGATCAACATGAAGAAAGTGCGGGTGTGGCAAAGGGGGGCATGGAGCAGGGCAGCATGGCATGTTGGGGCCTCACGCGGAAGATGTAGATGCACTTGAGGGAGGCGAAGAAGGTGCGCGTGTCCGCCAGGTTCACCACCTGCCATGCATGCGATGGGTCACCCGGGCACGCATGGCAGCACCGTCACACACACAAAGGGTGGAGGTAAGGAGGACGCATGCAGCTCTGTTAATGTCATGGAATGATCATAATACTTTGACAAATGAGTGGACGAAAAAGTGTGTGGGCAAGTGTGTTAGTCCGTGGCGCACCTGCCAGCGCTCGTTGGTGGTGCAGAGGCGCAGGCCTCGAATGGTGATGCTGGCAATGGGGGGTATCCTGCCATGGCACCATGCCGCACCGCACAGCACAACACACATACTGCCTGTCACGAGACGCACATGCATAGCCATGAGATAGGTGGAGGCATAAACACAAGAATGCACCCGTCCGACCATGCATGCGCAGTACTGACCATGTGGCAGCATCGTGGCCCGACACATCTCTGCCCCCACGCGTCTCAATCATGAGGTTCACCACGTCCACCTCCAACGTCATGCCGTCCGCTATCTGCTCACACGCACAAGCGCGGTGGGATGGAAAAGACGCGCAGGGTTGAGGCAAGAAGAAGGCGCCACGAGTGCACTGGGGAGGTGGAGCAGAGAGAGAGTCGTGCAGGAGGGCTGCTGAGGCTGCTGCCATGAGACAGCACAAGCTAGTGAGCGAGAGAGAGCAGAGAGCTAGGTGGTATGGATTGGACGAGGGGAGAGGCGTGCAGTGATGAATGAGTTATGGGGGATGAAGCTAGGGAATGGTGGAAGAGGTATGGATGGCAGTGAGCCGACCTTGTCCGCGAAGCCATACGATGTGCTCTTCGTTGCTAGTGCACTGCCACCCACATGCACACCCCCTCACACACACCCCACACATGCATACAGACAAACACAGAGACACAAATTCCCAATGAACACAAGTAGATAGATCAATTGCAGCGGCCGTGAACAGGTGGACTGAGGGCATGGTAGGCTAGGCACGGCAGGTGTGGCAACGATGGTGATGCATGCACCAGTCCTGGTGCACAAAGGGACATGTGGCGGACGCACAGCAGAGCAGAGGAACGCGGAAGGGAAGCGAGGGAGGCAGGGAGAGGGAGCGGTGCGAGTGCAGCGGGGGCAAAGCCGAGAGGCACAGACCCCGGGGAGGAAAGCGGGGGCTCATGGGGCGCTGTCTCGCGCAGCACGAGGTCGAGTGTGGAGATGGCGACCACGGTGGGCTCCTTGTTCACCAGCGACAGCGCTGGCAGCTGCGAGCACCCACCCACCGCACACACGGGGGCACGGAGTAAAAGTTGGCGCGGGAGATGCAAGGGATGAGGGACTGAACGCCATGAGTGTATGGTGGCATGATGCACGCCACGTGGCAATTGGGAGCAGGAATTTGTGTGATGAAGGGTGACAAAGTGTGTGCTTGAAAAGGAGGGAATGGTGACGAAAGAAAAGAGTAAGATTTCCAGGAATGGAGGAGTGAGAGAGAGCGAGAGCCCATAAAGAAATGCGCTGGACATGCCACCCATGAGGCATGACAAGTGATATGGCACATGGGCATGGCATGTGGCATGACATGGCAGTACCTTGATCTCCAGCTTGGCCACGTGTGCCTTGGCCACTCGCAGGGTGGACGGCAGGCCGATGATGGAGTGCAGCACATCGCCATTCAGGTCTGCGAGGCATGCATGCACATCCATCCATACCATACCCATGCACAAGCATGCACATCCATCCATACCCATGCACATGCATGCACATCCATCCATACACATGCACATGCATGTACATCCATCCACATCCATCAGCATCTATGCACACATATCCATGTATGTACATGCATGAAAATCCATCCATGCGCGTACAGCACATGCAGGCACACACATGCACAACCATGCCCGCAAATCTTTTCATGCACGTCCATAAAAGCACATCATGCATGGCCATGCATCCGCGGGGAGGAGCACACCTTACCTCCGCCATGCATGTGCTGCGTTTGCGAACATGGCAGTACGAAATGTGAGTGGAATGTGGGAGTGGAATGCGGCAGTGGAATGTGCGAGCGGCTGTGACGACGACGTCTGCCATGACATTGCTGTCAATGCGCCATCACACTTCGCCACACGCCGCCGTCATCTCACTAGAATGAAAGTCCGGTGCGCCATAATCCAGATCGCAACGGTCGAGGCTTGTCGAATCAAAGCCAATATTCCGAGGCGGATTACCTCACCGCTGGCCCAATGCGCTTCTGCGTCGTACAGCTGCGCGCTGCTGCAGGCCGCCGCGGCTTACCGAGGTTGGAGAGCTCCACGGTGCGGCCCTGCAGGCGGAACTGGTCGCGCGTGTACGAGCGCAGGTAATACTTGAGTTTCGACTCCAGCGCCTTCGCCAGAAGGGTCTCCATTTGCGCTCCGCGCTGCGATGCGCGCAGCGCGTAGGAGCTGGAGGCGTGCCGGTGGGGAAGATGGCGTCTTGATAAAGAAAAGGGACAGTGTCTGCAGGTTTCACGGGACGGCCCTAATACTGAGGGTGCTAGATGCTGAGGGTGACGGGGGTTTGTATGGAAGGAATGAAAAGAAATGGTGTGGCTGGCTGGCATTTGGCATGTAGGACCATACTCGCCAAAGAGAATTGCACTTCTAATAGCGACATATGTCTACAGATCAACGAAGCCTGATATACACGAATTGGTTCGGCGTATTTGTTCTCCCCACCAAACTTGCCTCCAACCTCCCCGAGACGGATGGTTACAAGGGAGTGTGGCTGGGCGATCTCGCGAAATTTTCGTCGTCCCTCACTCAACGAGGTGCAAGCCAAACCAGGCTGGAGCCACGACCTGGTATCTCGAGAGCGAAGCGAAAGTGTCGTTATCCAATCAGCGCACGCCGTGGACGTCACTGCTTTCTACAGTACATGGCTGCTGGCCTTCGGGTGCAGCACACCCAGCCTTGTGCCTGCATGATGCATCAGATGCCCGTCGTCGCGTGTGACAGCCGTGCAGTTGGATGCAGCTGCTCATCTCTGCTCCGTTCTCCTCGCACCCACCCATCTCAAGGCAGGCAGAACGTTTTCAAGGGAAACTGGAAGCACCAGATCCAATTCCCCACCACTGGTGACGTGCTGCTTCAACCGAGGCGTTCTTTCTCCAGTGCTCCACCACATACCTGGCCAACGTCGCACAACCGTTTCAGAAATTGTAGCCTCATAGCGTTTTCTTTCTCGCCAATAGACTGCAGCGATTCTGGCCATGGCGCTCGGCTCGGTAGGATGGCGGAGCACGATAGCGCAAGTAGTACTCTCCCTGGTGCTCGCGAGCACCGTATTAGGTCTAGAGGTTTCGGATAGTCAACAACCTCTCGTCTTGCCTCTAAGTTACGGCCAGTTCGCTCCGTCGCAGCGCCTCTCCGGCGTGTCGCCGTTCCGTCGGAAGCTGTCCGAAGCGCGCATGTGGCTGTACGGCAACGTTCTCACGCAAGGGTAGGGCCTCGGGACCAGCTTGAGCCAATTCTTGCGGTGCTCGATATACCTGCACTCTGCCGCAATTCCCGCCGCAATCCACGCTGGTCATGCAGCCAGCGAGCCACTTTTTCGCGCACCGTGCTCATATTTGCCCGCCTCTACCCTAATTTCTCGTCATCCACCTGCGCTTGTTTCCCCCATGGCTTCCCCCGTGTGTCACGCTCGTCATCAGAGCATCGCTGCGTTTGCTTCCGTTTCGATTCTTTCATCCACCGTCCGCGCTTTACTTTTCCTCTCGCGTCGCACTTTTGCTCCTGCTTTTTCCGCCATCCTACGCGCGCTCCCGCCGACCTTTTTCCCCGCACCCATGCCACGCTCCTTGTTCCACCCGCGCGTCCCGCGTGTCTGTCGCTTCTCATCCTCATTCCCTCCCCCCCCCCCCCGTGCGTCCGCGCAGCTACTACTACGCGAACGTGTGGTTCGGCACGCCGCCGCGGCGGTTCGCGCTGATCGTGGACACGGGCAGCACCGTGACGTACGTGCCGTGCGGCTCGTGCAAGCAGTGCGGCAGCCACCACCAGGTCAGTGCCGTTTTGGTTTCGACGATTAGGCGCGAGAGGCGGCGAGGCGCGCGCATGGGATCCATGGTTGCCTGTAAGTCCTGACTCCGTGCGACGTTTTACTGTCCCCCCCCCCCCCCTCCCCTTCTCGCGTCTCTCCGCGCGTGCGTGCTTGGCGCAGGACGCGCCGTTCGTGCCGCGCAAGTCGTCGACGTACGAGCCGGTGGGGTGCAACGCGGACAAGTGTCCCACGTGGGAGTGCGAGAGCGAGTCGGTGTGCTCGTACGAGCGGCACTACGCGGAGAACAGCAGCAGCAGCGGGCTGATCGTGTCGGACATGGTGTGGTTCGGCAACACGTCCAACATCCCGCCCTCGCGCGTGCTCTTCGGCTGCGAGACCAGCGAGACGGGCGACATCTACTCGCAGCAGGCGGACGGCATTCTGGGCATGGGCAGGGGGCCGCTGGGGCTCGTCACGCAGCTGGTGGAGAGCAAGGCGATGCGCGAGGTGTTTTCGCTGTGCTACGGCGGCATGGACGCCAACGGCGGCGCCATGATCATGGGCTTCACGCGCCCACCGCCCGGCATGAAGTTCACCTCGCTCACCCAGGGGTGTGTTCCACCGCTCCCTCGGCAACCCCCGTGCCTCGGAATTCTTTTAGTGGGCTTGTGATGAGCGTTTCTTGCACTCGATTTGATCCCTGCTCTCACACCTGCCACACCCTCCCTTATCTCTGCTTTGTGTGCGTCTGCGGTGGTGTGCGTGATGGTGGGCGAGCAGGCAGGGCACGTACTACAACGTGGAGCTGAGGAGCATCGCGGTGGCGGGTACGCCACTGCCGCTGGACGAGGCGGTGTTCCGATCGGGCTACGGCACCGTGCTCGATAGCGGCACCACCTTCGCCTACCTCCCGCCCACCGCCTTCAACGCCTTCAAGAAAGCGGTGCGCTGCTGCCTTGCCGCCATGCTGCAATGCTGCCCGCGGCCCCACGCCCACGCACTGTGGAGAAGGGTTTTTTGCTCCCTGTCCCTGTCCCTATCGCTGCTGCCTCGCCTTGCTCTTGCTGAAACTAACTAAACTTCTTGCCGCCACACCCGCTGTCGTTTCCCCATGCAAGTGCCCCCTGTCTGCCGTCCCTCCCGTGGCGTTGGTACCGGGTGGGTGCAGATGTCGGAGGGAGTGAACGGGCTGCGCCCCGTGCCCGGGCCTGACGAGGCGTACGAAGATGTGTGCTTCAGTGGCGCCACCGAGTGAGTTTTGTGCTCGCAAATGCGTGTGTGCGAACCAAAGAGCACACGCACACACACCTGCACGGATACGAACATCTCATTTTTTCTCGCGCTACTACACGTACATGTTTGTTACCAGCTCACACTCTTTCAACCCCGATCCATATCCCCACGGCCTCCCTCCCCTGTGTTTTCCTCAGTGCCAATCTATTCCTCCACCCATCCGTGCCCCCCTTTGCTTCTCCTGCCCCTCACCACTTCCTCCCCCACCTGTGTGTCGTGTATCTCCTCCCCAATCCCCCCCCACGGCCGGTGCAGGGATCTGGCGGAGCTGAGCAACTTCTTCCCGCCCGTGACGCTCAACCTGGGTGGCGATGTGGCATACGAGCTCAGCCCGGAAAACTTCCTCTTCCGCGTGAGCCCACATACCCCCCTCTGCTTCCTCTCCTTCCTGCGTATCTGAACTCCCACAAGCTATTTCGTGACCTTCCAAACCCTCCGCCCCCTGCATGTCGGCACATCGTTCCATCTTCCTGACTCGCAATCCTCTAACCAACTCCATGTGTTGTGCGCGTGCCCTTCTGTCCTTGTGTGTGTATGCGTGTGCGTGCGTGCGTGTGCGTGCATGCATGCACGAGCAGCACACCAAGGTGAAGGGCGCGTATTGTCTGGCGCTCTTCGCCAATGCGGATGAGGGCACTCTCCTTGGAGGTACGCCACACCACACATGCACCCCGCCTCTCCACCATCTCATCTCTTCCTACCCAGCAGCCCTATGCATGCACGGCATACACTGCACTGCACCCAGCAGTGCTCCCCAGCTGCCGCGCACACAGCTGGGCAGCTGATGCACACACACGCCTAGCACATGGCCTCTCCCCCACCTTCACCAGCCGCTCGCTGCCATTGCCTCTGCCATGCCCTGCTGCCCTCCACCCCTTGGTTCTCAAGTCAGTTTGAAACCGGCTGCGTCCCACAACTGTATACCAACCGCCCACCCCTCGTCCTCGCCACCCCCTCCTTCCCTCCCTCACTCCCCCTTCCTTTCGCCGTGTGTGGCACGGTGTGCATGGCGGCAGGCATCATAACGCGCAACACGCTGGTGACGTACGACCGCGCGCGCAGCCGCGTGGGGCTGTGGAAGACGGACTGCTCGCACCTCTTCTCCCAGCTGCACGCGCTGCAGGGCTCCAACGCGCCTCCCCTCGCTGACGAGCTGGCGGAGCAGCCACCCCCGTTGCCCGACTCGGCACACGTGCCCCGCAACGCGTCGGACACCTCAGAGGACTCTCTCTTCGGTGCGCTGGGTGGGGCCACGGTGCATGGGGGAACGCACGGGCACAGGCACGGACTCATGGGACAGCAGGCAATGGGTGGGATGGGTTCTGGAGACAGGGACCAGTACGGCTTGGCCAGCAGCATGCAGTGGCGACGCTTTGCTTTGCATGGGTTGTAGCATGAGGTGCACTGCATGGTTGTTGTGTCTGCCACGCGCCATGCACCTGGCGCCTCATTCCCCTCACAACGCATGTACCATTCTGTTCTGCCTCGTGCCTCTGTGCAGGATGCACGCTGCACACTCCCTCCTTCTCCCACTTAGCCCCACCCTGCCTCCCAATCACTTGCCTGCTGCCATTCCCCTTGTGGTGTGCATGGGTGTGAGTGCGCAGACGAGTGTGAGGACTGTGCGAGCAGCCTGCGTGTGGAGATGCGCGTGCCGCTGCCCCTGATCGACTTCGCCCCGCTCGTGCCCGACTTCGTGCATGCCATGGCACAGGCCCTCCACCTGGAGGAGGTGCAGGTGCGCCACACAGGGGGAGGGGGGAAAAGGGACGGGGGAAGGGAAGGGCAAGGCACAAGTGTGGGTTGAGAATGAAGGGACGTAGGAGAAGACCTGGCAGGGAGCACAGGAACAAGGACCGGGTGAAGGTGGTGGGAGTGCACCATGATGGAGTGTGCTCGTGCTGCTCTCATTGCCATGCCAGCTGTGCGCTGCATGCTTGTGTTGCACATGCCCTTGTTTCTCTCCATGCTCGCTGTGCCCTTGATGCCGTAACCTCCTCCCCATGTGCGTGCATGCCATGCCATGCACCCCACGTGGCAACAGGTGTCAGTGGATAAGTTCGTGGAGGTGCGAGCAGCAACAGCGTCGTCGCCTGCAGTGACGGGTGTCAGCCTCTTGATCCTGCCGCTGCCACCCGATGATGTCCTCCCTGCCGCCTCCGTTGAGGTGACTGCGCGCACTCCACTCTCCCCTCTCTCACACCACTCCAATCCCCTTGTCCAAAGCTAAGCCGCATTCCTCATCCACCATGCCCCATGCTTCATGCCCCATGCTTCATGCCCCATGCTTCATGCCCCATGCTTCACGCCCCATGCTTCATTCGCCATCTCCCATGCCCCATGCTTCGTGCCCGGTCTCCCATGCCCCATGCCTCATGCCCCATCTCACATGCCCCATGCCTCGTGCCCCATCTCACATGCCCCATTCCCATGCCCCATGCTCGATGGCCATGCCTCAAGCCCCATGCCCCATTCTGCATGCCTCATGCCCCATGTTCGATGCCCAGCGCCCCATGCCCCATACGCCATGCTCCATAGGGTATAACTTGACCATGCCCCATGCCCCATGCCGTGCCCCATGCCCATGCACCATGCCCCATGCGCCATGCCCCATGCCCATGCAGCCCCATGCGCCATGCCCCATGCGCCATGCCCCACGTGCCATGCCCCATGACCGAGTGTATGTATTGGATCTGGCCTGCTTCTCTTGTAGAACGGCCCACACAAGTGCCATTTTCTTGCCTCCGCCCACCCCTGGCACACTCCTCTTTCTCTCATACTTTCCTCCCTCTCTCATGCCCCCCACTGTGCCCCATGCTGCGATGGCAGCGAGTGGAGACATTGCTGCGCGGCACCATCAAGGTGAACGATGTGTTCGGCCATGTCACCGTCGCAGATGTCTCCGTCAACCTGCCCCGCCCTCAATCCAAGTGCGTTCCATGCCATGCTCCCTGCCTGTGCTCCCTGCAAAGCCCCCTGCCGATGCATTCCCACCTGCCATGCGTGAGCATGTGCTCATGTGTCGCTCTGCACTGCCCATGTGTCCAGTATTCCCCGAACTTTCTCATGCTCTGCATCCCTCTGCTTCTCACATTCCTCTACCTCCGGCATCCCAAAACTCCTCGCATTTCTGCGCTTCTCACCCTTAGGTTGTCATCTCCCATCCCATTCCATCGCATCGCAGCACATCCCATTGCCCTCATTACATCGCATCACACCCTCTCATATCTGCCTCACGCCTGCTGCTAGCTGCTTTTTCATGCCGACTCCCTTCACGGCTCTGGCCCCCTTTCTCCACAACCTCCCCTCCGCTCGCCCTTGTGTCCTTTACTCCCTGCCCGAATGCCCCCCTGCCCTGCATGCGCCCCTGCTGTTAGCCTGCTCTCCATCAGCAGCCCGGGGTGGGTTGATTCTCTTTTTCCGCTGCTAGGACTGGTGGTGGGGCTGGTGGTGGTGGTGGGCGTGGTGGTGGTGGTGTGGCGGCGCCGCCAGTCCACCACGCGGTACGGCACAGTGCGGCAGACGGTGGAGGGCGATGATGAGGAGCAAGGGCTGGCAGAGGCCCATGACGCCGAGCAGGCCGAGGCGGAGGAGGAGGGAGGGGGGCGCGAGGGGGGAGATGAGAGAAGCATGATGGGGTTGCAGGAGCATAAAGGAGAAGAGGATGAGGCACATGATGAGGGCACGGTGATGCATCGTGATGTGGATTGATGCTGCGCCATGCTGCTCTGGTCGCATACCATGCGATAGAAGCCTAAGTACCGTTGTGCAGTATAGTTTAGGAAAAGCAGGCTTACCTCTTCTGCTGTTTTCCCTCACTGTTGCTTTTAATGGTGGGTGAGCTGCAGGGTTGTGTACCACCCCATTATTTATATGCCTTTCGCTGAACTGACCATGACACGTAAAATCGATTGTGCTGAAGCTAGAGAAAAGCACTTAGTACTGCATCTACGGTAACCTAATGGAAATTGGGCATAACTACCATTAATACAGTGTGTTTCAATCTACCTCTGAGAGGTTTACAGATTAACATACAGTGAATTGTGCTGAACAGTAAAATGAGTATCAACATATGTTCAAATGAGTAACACATAACGAACAGTAAGGCAGTTTCAGTATAACATACTATATCGCTTAGCAGGCAGGCAACTGGGCAAACAAGACACAGGCTCAGGCATTGCAAACCCACTGCTCCATCAGAGACACGGAACACACGCCCTTACTTACTGCCAGTCACCCCACGCGCACCACCACATCCTGCCCTTTCCCTGCTCCCGCATCCCCTGATTCCTTGTCTGCTGCCTCCTGCCGTGCCGCCTTCTCCAGCGCCTGCTGTGCGCCTGGTCCAGTGAGGGGGATCTCCACGCCGCTGCGGGCCCCACCTGCTGCCTCCAGCCCCAGAACGTTGGGGCCAGCAAGGCTGCCAATGGGTGTGCCAGCCATCACGGAATTGAGCCACTGCACAAATGTCAGGTCACGCAGCAAGCTGCCAAACCACGCCATCCATGACGCTGACCCCACAGAGGCCTCAGCGAGCTGCTGCTGTTCACGCAGGCGGTCAGCAAGGAAGAGCTTGACGAGGTACGTGTCGTTGCACTGCACCAGGTCCAGCGGTGGGCTCTGCCACGGGTTGCCCTCCAGCTGCAGCTTCTCTATTGCTGTCAGGCAACCCAGCTCCACGGGCAGGCGCTGCAGCTGGTTGTTGCGCACGTCCAGCTGCCGCAGCGCTGATAAACGACCCATGGTGGCCGGTAGGGCCGTGAGGTCAGCAAAATTGTCGGAGAGCAGCAGAGTGTGCAGCGCTGAAAGGTGGCCAATGGAGGGTGGCAGGGACTGCAGGCGGTTGAAGTGCAGGTCGAGGAAGGTGAGCGAGGAGAGGTCCCCGATGGACTCCGGCAGTGCTGTGAGCTTGTTGAGCGCCAGGGAGAGGCGCGCCAGATGAGGCATGCCCGCGCCAAAACGGTCGGGCAGCTTCTCCAGATTGTTGAAGTTGAGGTTCAAAGAGGTGAGTGCACTGTGGTGGACACACAGATGTGGCATGGGGCAGCGGAAGAGAAGGGATGGAAAAAATATGGGCCCACACAGATACAGGCATAGGAACAGTGGGGAGTTGAGACACTATTTTTCAAGTGAACCGCCCTGGCGCAGCAAAGCAGCAATGAGGTGTGTGGTGCACCTGCAGTTGACGATGGAGTCAGGCAGGCGCTGCAGGCCGTTGGTGGACACGTCCAGAGATTGCATGGCGGACAGCAACCCAATGGACGCGGGCAGCGTTGACAGCCGGTTGGCGTGCAGGTTGAGCGAGGTGAGCGACGTCAGGCCTCCCAGCACGTCTGGCAGAACCTGCAGTCAGCCCAAGGAACGACATGGCACAGGGGAAGAATGAGGCGGTGCTGAGAGTAGAGAGGCGTGTGACGCACAAGGAGATGCACAGGCGCGAGTGCCGCACACCTCGATCTGGTTGCCTGACAGGTCAATGACCTGCACGCTGCCCAGGCGGCCGAAGGGCTCTGGAAGCCAGTCGATGGAGCGGTTGCTGAGGTCCAGGCTGTCCTTGCTCTCCGCCACGGCGGCCTGCATGGCCTGCAGCACGCCCCTGTCCCTCGCCGCCTTCAGGTACCGCGCACTGCGGGGCCCGCTGTCAGCGCCCGCCCCCACTGCTGCTATTGCCTGCGACAAGCTCTGCCCGTCCGCTGTCACTGCTGCGTCGTCCCCCCCCGCGAGCGCGGCCTGCGCCAGCAGCACCACGTCCTGAAGCTGCAGCACCTGCCTGTGCCGCTCCAACAGCGCCATGTGCGGACGCTTCTCCTCCTCCGCTTCTTCCCTCGCCACCTCCTTGCGCTTCTCCTGCACAAGCGGCAAAGACACCAAGAACAGCACGATGTGACGTAGAAACGAAAAACAAAAACACCCCGTCTCCGTCAAAGGAACATTGAACGACTCAACAGTGCGAGGTGGATGTTGCACACATACAGCAAAAAAAAAAAAAAAAAAAAAAAAAAAAAAACAACAACAACAACAACACAAGGAGAAAAACACATAGAGATGGCTGCGGACTAGATCAACACAAGCGGGACGAACGCGCTGCTTTTAGCGTGGACGAATCGCAGCGAACGATGGAAATACAAAATAAACGGGCTAGCTCGAAGAAGTGAAAGCCATTCGGAGCCGAAGAGTCGTGCGCGCAACCAACGTCCCAAGAGTGGAAACGAACTCGAGAAAGAGCCGGCAAGAAACAAACCTGAAGCAGTAGAAACTGCTGCCCACTGACTGAATCCGGAGGGTTCTCCACGTCCAGTTGATTTATGGTGGCGGCGAGGCGTCTCTCGATCTCCACTATCCGCTTCTCGGCCGAATCTACATCCGCGGCATCTGGCGGTGGGCCGAGCAGTTGAAGCTTTCGTTGAGCATCGCTTAGCGCAGCTTCTACGGAATCCATTGCGGTGCAGCTACTTGGTGAAGATACAAAGGGTTGCTGTGAATCTGGATTACAAGAAGGCAGTGCCGTGTTGGGGGGTTGTGGGAGAACAAACACAGGGACGGGTCCGAGATTCCCGAGGCACCAGAAAAGATGTGACTTCAGCCAGAACGAAAATCGAGACACAAGTCAAAGATCACCTGTACACCTGTTCTCAGATATTTCCGCACCCTGAACTTTGATTCTTCCCAGACACCCTACATGGTTGAAGGTTTGATGAGACGGACCCCCTGACATTGCGGGTCTATCAGGAAATAACCGCCAGGTCAAGGCCTTTCGAAACTCGAACTTTGTAGTTCGAGTGAGCGGGGAAAATTCCAGTGCCAGATTGTTCCTGCGTTAAGCTCGCATCGAGATTGTGTTATATTAACCCTGAAAACTCTTCGAGCGTTGCTAACTACCTTCGAAATCGGTTTTTTCGAGGGTAGGTACCCCAGGTCGTGAAGATAAAGGGTGTGGAAATATCGGAGAAGAGGTGTAGTGAGGTCGGGTACTCGCTGAAAGTCGGTTTGGGAGCCCCGGTTCGGATTGATGTTTGACATCGCTGACAGCTGAATCCGAGCCTAGGATGATGGGTGTGAGTGATGTACCTGGAGCTCTGACACATTCCCGTAAAAGCGTCCTCAAATCGCCTTCAATCAGGTTTCATAAGGCTTGAAAGGGTTATTGAGTGCTCCAGTGTGGTGTAAAATTATACATGTCAACGTCCAAAGCGGTGGGGTGGAGTCCCAAACCAGAACCAGCAAATAGATGTTCGGGCACTTTCACATGTAACACCCATTTTTTAGTCTTTCAGTTTTTTTCAAACAAATAAGCTATTCCAATTCAGTTCGAACTGTTCTCTCAATCACAGCCCGCGACAATGCTTCTAGATACGCCCTCGCTAACGGCTCTGTAACAGCCGAATTCACGTTGTGGTCGCCCAGGACAGCCAAGCGGCAATTTATCTTTCCCATAGTTGAGGTGAGAACACCGGCACGAGTGTTTCGGCGAATTTTGCGAAAGACCGAGTCCGATGTTTGTGTTGGATCTGTGTTTCCCAAGTCCGCAGCAACTACCCACCCACACACTCCCAGACTCCTCCCACTCCCAACTACTTCGGAATGCCTTGAACTTACCGTTTCCTTCCTAACACGATCGGTGATGGAGCTGCCTCCACTAGTACAGGTCGCCGAATTTTGTGACATGATTTTATCGTGTCGTGTGCCTTCGGTTAAGTTCTAGGCAGGGTAATGATTTAACATTCTGTTTTGGAGTAGTCGATCTGTTTAGGCTGTGACCTAAAGACCCTGTCAGTCACTAATCTCGTTATGGCGACACGACGATGGGGCGTGCCGACTCGCTCGGCACGGTTGGCGAGCCAGCTGAACATGGAGATTCAGCTCCTGCTTGCGGCTATGCGGCAAAACAGCAAATGGGTGGCCGGTCCTCGCGTCCTGGGAGAAGAAGTCGAAGTGCCGGAAGATCCTTTGCTTCTCAATCTTAAGATCCTACGGCGGAACGCGTTTCTGTGGGCATCTGGAGCAACGGATGTGTCAGGAATGCGATCTGGTGGAGATGCGTGGGAACGCGGCACGGCTGGGAGGGACGGCGCGAGTAAAGCGGAGGTACTGGGGGATGGAGGAGCAGCGCGCGCGGAGAGCAGCGGGGAGGAGAGGCAGGCGAGCACACTGGCGTCGGGTGCTGACGGGCCGGGGGGCGAGGCATGCGGCGATGGCGGCGACGAGTGGGATCGCGTGGACCCGCTGGAGTACCTGGCGCCGTTCCTCACCATCATTCGCTCCGAGAAGACCAACACGGCCTCCACAGGCGTCGCGCTCGCCGCCACGCACAAGATCCTCACGACGGGGTTCTTCTCCTCGAGCACGAGGGGCGCCGCGCGCGCCATGCACGCCGTGGTGGAGGCCGTGACGGGGTGCCGCTTCGAAGTGACGGACCACTCGTCGGAGGAAGTGGTTCTCATGAAGATCCTCCAGGTGACCACACGCCACTCCTCCGCAATGCACTCGCGCGCTCCTCCTCCCACACCTAAAGCCAACAGGCTATAGATCCCGAGTCACTCGAACAATGAAAGGATGTTTCTACATTTGGACAGGTTCAAAACAGCGAGGTGACTTTTGAGTCGACTCAAAAGTCACATTTGGACAGGTTCAAAACAGCATAATTCTGAGCACTCAAGGCGGCTGACTTTCTCTCGTGGCTTTCCAATTCCCGTATTCGTGCATTTGATCTTCTATACTTCGTGCATGTCTAGTGTGCTCCTCACATTGTGTCTTGCCACGTCGCTACAACCCACGGCAGGTTCTCGTGGCGTGTCTGACGTGTCCAGCGGGGGAGCTGTTGTCGGATCGGGACGTGTGCAGCGTGGTGAACACGTGCTTTCGCGTGGTGCACCAGTCCGCGCTACGCAGCGATGTGCTGCAGCGCGCAGCGTGCGCCGCCATGCACGACATGGTGCGCACCATATTCGCGCGCCTGCCGTCGCTGCCCAGCTCGCCGGCGTCGGGCGAGGAGGAGATGCAGGCGGCGAGGAGCACGGAGGGCACCATGGTGCTTCCCGACGACACCGCGCTTGACGCCGCCGCCGCCATGGATGCAGCTGCTGCTGCACGGCTCAAAGATGGCGTGCAGCCGCCGGGTGAAGAGGGTGCCGCTGCTGCAGTGGCGCAAGCAGAGGGAGAGGGGGAGAACGGCGGAGGTGCAGGACAGGAAGGCGAGGGGAAAGTGCATCAAGGGGATGAGGTATGTTGGACTCGGGTGTTCCCTGTAACTGTGTGCACTACCACGTGCTAGCTGCGTGCGTTATTAAGTGCTAGTTGCGCGCGTTACCAAGGGCTAGTTGCGCGCGTTACCAAGGGCTAGTGGCGTGTGCTACCACGTGTGAGTCGTGAGGAGGGGTGCACATCGTGCGTTCGGTAGTGCCTGTGGACTGGCAGTGAGCCAGAGCCTTTGGTTACACTGCATCGGATGCACGTCAACATGTGGGTCCCCATAGTACTTGATTACCGCGCCGCACTCGTTGTAACACGCTACTGTGTTCTCTCCGTTAACGCTTCTTTGCCTCTGTCACCCCTTCCCCTGCTCCAGTCGAACCCTCTGCTGCCACGAGACGTGGCTGGCGCGGCTTCTGCTGCGTCGCCCAGCGGTTCTGAGTCACCAGGGTCGGACTCGAGCAGCGAGGCGGACAGCCAGCACGAGGGCGCGCCAGGGGACGAGTCGTCGAGTGAGAACGAGCAGGAGGAGGGCGGGGAGTACGAGGAGGAGAGCAGTGCGGTGGACTTCACGCGCGAGGTGGTGCTGGGGCGCCCGTACGGGGCCGCGTGTCTTGTGGAGGTCTTCCACTTCCTCTGCTCGCTGCTCACTCTCGAGGAGAACCTCGTCGCCTCGCCTCGCGCTGCCAGTCCGCGCACCCCTCGCTCCTACGCATGGGCGCACGCACACGAGGACATGCCTCTCTTCGCGCTGCAGCTCATTAGCACGGCACTGGACCTCACAGGCGAGCATGTGGCCCTGCACCCGCGCCTGCTGGCGCTGGTCTCTGACGACCTCTTCCGCTCCTTCTTCCTGCTCGCAGCCTCGCCCAACCCGCTCCTCTTCCCGCTCATCTGCAGCATCGTGCTGCGCCTCTTCCTGTGCCTGCGCCGCCACCTCAAGCTGCAGCTCGAGGCCTTCTTCCTGGTTGTGCTGGCGCGCGCCGCACAGGAGCGCTATGCCGTGTCGTTCCAGCAGCAGGAGGCGGCGCTGGAGGCGCTGCTGGACTTCTGTCGCCTGCCAGAGTTTGCAGTGGAGCTGTACAGCAACTATGACTGCGACATCAGCCGCAGCAACCTGCTGGAGGACCTGGGCGGGCTGCTCTCCAAGAGCGCCTTCCCCGTGGCATCGCCACTGACCTCGCTGCACGTGCTGGCGCTGGACGGGCTGCTGGAGATGCTGCGCCACATGGCCCACCGCGTTGACTCCGGCCCCGCCCCCAAGCCCCCTGCACCGCCCAGTTACGGCAGCGGGCGGCAAGCCGATGGGGTGGAGTTCTGGACGTGCCAGTGGGGCCCTCCTCCGCCCACGAGCGCTGCAGCTGCTGCGGGGTGGGGTGATATAGGAGCTGCTGGGGCGGGCAAGCAGCACGGTGGCGAGGCAGGCGAAGGAGGAGGCGAGGTGGCAGGGCCGAGGAGCAGTGCACGCGGCGAGGTTGGTGGGTGGGGTGTGTGGGAGGCGGAGGGCGACTGGGGCCGCTGGGTGGAGTTTGTGAGGGCAAGGAAACACGTGAAGCGGCGGTTGCTGCAGGGGGCGGAGCATTTCAACAGGGATCCAGCGAGGGGGCTGCAGTACCTGCAGGCGGCAAAGCTGCTGCCAGAGGAGCTGGATGCGCGCAATGTGGCGTGCTTCTTCCGCTACACGCCGGGGCTGAGCAAGCGAGTGCTGGGCGACTATCTGGGCGACCACGAGCCGTTCAAGGTGGCCGTGCTGCACGAGTTCGCGCGTCTCTTTGACTTCCACGGCCTCGCCCTGGACGGCGCCCTGCGCACCTTCCTTGAGAGCTTCCGCCTGCCCGGGGAGGCGCAGAAGATTGCTCGCGTGCTGGAGGCGTTTGCTGCCCGCTACTACGAGCAGTGCCCCGACGTGCTGGCGAGCCGTGATGCGGCGTACATCCTGTCGTACTCGGTGATCATGCTCAACACGGACCAGCACAACGAGCTGGTGCGCCACAAGATGACGGAGGAGGAGTTCATCCGCAACAACCGCATGATCAACGACGGCACGGACCTGCCGCGTGACATGCTCACCGAGCTCTACCACTCCATCGCCAGGGACGAGATCCGCGTCTCCGCTGACAGCCTTGCAGGGGGGGGGGTCGGGGGCAGGCAGTGGAGCAGCAGGCGAGATGAGTTACAGCCGGTGGATGGACATAGTGCGGCGTGCGCCGTCGTGCCTGGCGTACGTGCCGTGTGGGGACTCACGGCCACTGCTGGACCATGACATATTCGCTGCCGTGTCAGGGCCCGCCATCGCCGCCATGAGTGTGGTGTACGACCACAGCGACTCCCCTGACGTGCTGCGGCAGTGCCTGCAGGGCTTCATGGATGCCGCCAAGATCTGCGCCGCTCACTGCATGCGCGACGCCCTCGACGACCTCGTCGTCTCACTCTGCAAGTTCACCACGCTGCTCAATCCCGCAGGGGGGACGGGGGCAGCAGGGGGGCAAGCAGGGGCAGGGGGGTATGAAGGAGGGGGGATGGAGGAGGAGGAGGCAGCGTTGGCGTTTGCGGAGGATGCCAAGGCGACCATGGCGGCGGCGGCGGTGTTCACGGTGGCGAACCGGTATGGGGACTACATCCGCACGGGGTGGCGCAACGTGCTGGACTGTGTGCTGCGCCTGCACAAGCTGGGGCTGCTGCCCGTGCGCGTGCTGCTGGCCGCACATGACGGCGCGGGGCAGGACGAGCTGGTGAAGCTGCCCTTCACGGGGGACGCCTCCACCGCCACCTCCACTCGCGCCGCCATGCAGCACAGGGACGGCGATGGGGCTGCTGGCAAATCAGGGGGCAGCGGCAGCAGTGGATGGGGTGGAGGAGGGGGGCTGATGTTGCGGTTCAGCCAGCTGTTCCTGCTGGAGTCGGAGGAGGAGCAGCAGCCATCGCAGCAGCTGGTGGAGGCACAGCGGCAGGTGCTGCGCGCCATGGAGGAGTGCCGCATTGAGGCCATCTTTGCCGACAGCAAGTTCCTCCAGGCCGACTCCCTGCTGCACCTCGCCAAGGCGCTCATCTGGGCTGCCTCCTCTGGCAGGCCTCTGCGCGGGGGCAGTGGTGCGGTGGGGGCGAGCACAGCAGACGAGGAGGACACAGCAGTGTTCTGCCTGAGTCTCCTGGTGGCGGTGACACTCACCAACCGTGACCGCATCCTGCTGCTGTGGCCCGCCGTGGCGGACCACCTGGCGGCCGTGGTGGAGACGGCCACGGCGCCCACGGCGCTGGTGGAGAAGGCCGTGTTTGGGCTGCTGCGCCTGTGCCGGCGCCTCGTGCCGTACAAAGAGGACGTGGCGGACGAGCTGCTGCGCTCGCTGCACCTCATCCTGCGCCTCGATGCACGCCTGGCGGACGTGCTGTGTGAGCGCATCACCAAGGAGCTGCTCCTGCTCGTGCAGGCACATGCTGCAGCCGCCGCTGCAGCCACAGCAGCTGCCACGGCAACGGCTGCCGGGTTTCCTAGCAGTTTCCCTACATCTCCAGGCTCTCTCTCACGCGAATCTGGTCACATCCGCTCCGCCGCTGCATGGCGCACTTTGTGCTCGCTGCTGGCCGTGGCTGCCAGGCACCCCGACGCGGCAGCAGCGGGCTTTGAGGCGCTGCGCTTCGCCATGGACGATGGCAGTGCGGCACCATCGATGCAGCCCACCGCGTCGTCCCTGCACCGCACCATGTCGCGTACACGCAGCGAGGACGGGGCGCGCTCTGTGCTACCTGCTAGTCTGCTGCCATGCCTGGACGCGGCGGTGGAGTTTGTGGAGTCGAGGGCAGGCGGGCCAGCGCGGTCCGTGAAGGCGCTGGACCTGCTGCTGGGGCTGCTGCGCCCGCTGCAGCTGTGCGTGGCAGAGGTCACGGCGCAAGAGGTGGTGGAGATAGGCGAGCGGGGCGAGGAGGCAAGGGAGGCACAGTTGAAGGAGGTGTGGGATGCATGGAGCAAGCTGGCGTCCGTAGTGGCGCGTTCAGGCATCGAGCAAAGGGAGGCAGTGCGCAATGCTGCCATTGCAGGCACACAGCAAGTGGTGCTGGGTGCGGTTGGGCTGGGTGTGCCTGTGCGCATGCGAGTGCGGTGCCTGGAGGAGGTGGTGGTGCCACTGCTGGACGGGCTACTGGACACAGCGACGAGGGAGAAGCCAAGGGAGTTCAAGGGCATGGAGGGCTCGCTCATTCTTGCACTCAAGCTGCTCACCTGCACCTTCCTCTCTCTGCTGCCTCACCTCCTCCCCATCTCTTCATCCACCGCTCCCCCTCATCCCGTCTCGTCCCCTGACAGCATTTCCACCTCTCCCTCTCCCCCTTCCTCCTCTCACGCGGCCGCCACTGCCTCCAACATTGCATCGCCACGCCAGCTGTGGCTGGCAGTGCTGCAGCGCCTGGAGCGGTGCAGCAAGGCCAAGGTGAGGGCGGCACTGGGAGGGGGGGAGGCATTGCAGCGAGAGGTGGGGGAGGTGGTGCGGGGGCTACTGCAGACCATGGTCCAGCACAGGGTGCTGCTGCCCCCTGCTTCCACACCTGCCAGGCCTGCTGGCAGCGCTGGCGACGAGCGGGAGCGAGATGGCGAGGGTGCCAGCAGAGGCGAGGGGACAGGTGCAGGTGAGGGGAAGAATGAAGCGGAGAGTTTGTGGGAAGTGACTTGGCGGGCTGTTGGGATGATTGCTCCTGGAGTTACAGTGGATGAGATGCTTCCCTTGGACACCAGGGCGCCAAGCAAGGAGGGGCAAGAAGGGGTGGGGGAAGGGGATTACGTGCTGGTGGGTAAGGAGGACGGGGATTCACAGCAATAGCTGGGCACCCTTTGAAGAAACTATTAAGCATGAGGTGGGGGCAGCGTTGCTTGGATGCAAGTGGGGTAAATGGAGGGGGGAGGGTGTGGGGTGGACGGGGAAGTGGACAATTGAATCTTCTGAAGGGGCAAGCAAGCACACCTTTTCCTGTTGGAACAGAATGTTCAATGCAGATGCAACTAGACACCATGATGTATGCACGCCTAGCAACCTTGGGAGTTCAGTGCAGCAATCCGATCTCAACTGGAGTTGAGTGTGCATGCATTCTTTTGGTTCACAAATCACACTTGGTACTGTATCTGTTTTTTTCTGGAATCTTCATGGGAAAATTACCATATAGGGAAAAAATGTCAATGGTAACTTACATGGGGCACTATAACGCGTATGGTAACAATTTCGACGCACTTGGTAACCCGCTTAACGCGTTTGGTAACTCGCTTAGCACGTTTGGTAACTCGCTTAACGCGTATGTTAACTACCACACTAGCAGCCCATCACGCGAATGGTAACTAGAAGAAACCCTCGCCCAAAGTGACCCTGATTCTGGTTTTTCCTGCTCGCGTCAGACTAAATTGACGAATCTTGAAGCAGAAACCTCTGACACATGTCAAAACATATTGTTCTGTTCATCTTACTCTAGGTTGTGTAGGGGTCACACCTCAGAGGGTACAACCCTACTCTCTCGACATCCTTGTACCCCCTCCCCCTTACCTAATCGATCATCCTTCCTAGTATTCTAACAACACTGTTGGAATAACCGAAAGGTTATATAAAGCATTCCCGAAGCTGTTCCACTATACCAGTACCGGAATAGCTCATACAGAGCATTCGGAATGTCGAGAGTCACCCGAAGGTCAACCGTCTAAGGGAGTCAACGGTCGTGACCCTTGACAATCCAGTAACCGTGCGACAGTTAACTCACTGCAACATGGTAACTGTCGAGGATAGCAATAGTCACGGTTACTGTAGCTATGCAATACAATTAATAAGGGAATGTACCCCTAAGGGTACATTCCGCTGTGGACACATGTCCCAATCGATGTGTCCCAATCGTTTCTACCGCACTGCATCGTATTACACCAATTTGCACCCTAGTTTCGAAATTTTCGCGTCTCTGGTTTAGTTCGGTTCGGAGCGGTACACTCGATTGGGACACGTCGATTGGGACATGTGTCCACAGCGGAATGCACCCTAAGAGTACATGGCTAGCTAGATTTCTATTTAATCCCTTGTACTCCTATCTTTCAATTACGGTATCTTGTTCCATCTCAATTATTATTCAACAAGGTCATTACAGAGACTTCATTGTCTCCTCTCAGACTTAACAGATTCTATCCTATCCACTGATCCTTGGCTACATCAGCATGGTATGAGAGCGTGAGTGGATTATACGATCTGTCAAGTTCTCGTTCTTCTCAGAACAACTCCTTTAAAAAATTTACTCATTACACCTCAAAGTCTCCAATACTATGGCTCCTGAAGGGAAAGCTACTGCAGACTCACCGGGCCCACCACCAGCAACGACTAACGCGCCATCAGCGGTGACCCCCGTCGGCGCCGCTGTCGTTGAGGAACTAGTCGCACGCATCAACGCTCTTGAGAGCCACCAAGCAATGAGCATTGACGGCTCAAGCTACGCACGTGGCGTTGCTGGACCTTCTCTCCCTGGAGAAGACCGCCGCGTCAACTCCGAGAGATCCTTCAACTTCGACAATCGTCAAGGGTCAGCTCCTGTACAACACACCCCACAATGCTCACAGTCAGACATTGCTTCAATGCAAACCAAATTTGTACTGACTTCAAAATTGAAGACCTCAACTCCTTTTCGACGGAAAGGATTTCTACACGTGGAGTTTCGAAATCGAGCTTCTCGCGACAACCGCTCAGATCTGGATGTACTGCGACGGAAGTCTACCCTTTCCCTCGGAAGGTACCATCCGGGAGAAGCATCAATACTACCACGAATCCCTCCTCGCATACACTGCTCTCCTTCGCAATCTCTCACCTGAAGAGCAGCTCGGCATTCGCCCTTACAAGACGGAGTGGGCTCCCGCGCAAAGCTCCTGGGAACACCTGCGCAACTCATACATGGCAACAGATCCAGTTACGAGGAGCCGTCTACTCAGCCAACTGACTTCAGTTAAAATGAAGCAAGGGGAGAAAGCGGGACCGTATGTCAACCGGTGCCGCAATCTGCGTGACCAAGTTAAGAAATGCGGTGGGACTGTCCCCGACGACATGTTCATCTCGATGGTCATCTCTGGCCTCGGCCCCGACTGGCGACTATGCCAGTCACTCCTTCGCGCCCGAGCAACCATATCAGAGTCAGCTCTGTGCGCCACGCTTCTTTCGGAACAGAAGGAAATCGACCTGTACAACGAGAAGAACGTCAAACGGGAGAAATTAGTCTTCTACACAGGAGCAGTACAAGGGGAACAACGCGGAAAGAAGGGAGCTTTCTGCAAATACTGCAAGAAGTCTGGCCACTCTATCGACCAGTGCTACAAGCGTCAGGCCGCTGACGAGCGGCGCAATGCCTCTGGCCAACAACCATCGACGCAGACGAAGCCCTCTGCCACTATGTCGCCTCCTTCCGTTGCCAGCACTTCCCAATCCCATGCACTCATCACGGCGAAGGACAAAGGAAAAGGGACAATCATAAGCTGCATGGCTCGACGCAACAGAAGGACAATCGTAAGTGCACGGACCAGCCCCCCCACCCCGCTGGCGTGCAGCGTACCACTCATGGAGCTGCTGGGGAGGGGGGATGTCATGAGTGCGCTGCTGTTGCTGCTGCTAGCGCTGGCCACCTCCGGAGCCACCCCTCTGCGCAGCGCCACCCCGACTAGCTCCACCTCCTCCGCCTCCGCCTCCTCCTCCGCCGCCACCTCCGCCACCTCCGCTCCCACCGCCACCGCCGCCTCCGCCTCCGCCTCCACTGCCGCCACCAACACCTCCACCCCCGCCACCACTCCCACCACCACCACCCCCACCCCCTCCGCCGGCTCCACCGCCACCTCCACCGCCCCCACCAGCTCCTCCAGCGCCCTTGCCCCCCTTGCCCTTGCCTGTGCGGCGCTTCCCCCAAGGGGCAGACGCAGCGCCGACCGACTCAAAACCAACTAGGTCGGCCGCAGCAGCAGAAGCAACAGAGGGAAAGAGGGGGGAGGGAGAACACCCCTCAAAGACGGGGGTGCGGGGGTCACCACGAGAGGCTCCTACAGCGACTATGCTCTTCTCCGCTGCTAGGAGGGACTTCTCGAGGAGGTCAACGGTGAGAGTGGTGGGGCACACTGAGAGGAAGTGGTCCCTGACTATGTAGTAGAGGGTGATATACATGGGGGGGGGGGGGGTTCTTGGCGCAGAATTCAGCAGGAAGCGCAGCGCGGTAGCGAGTGTCACTAGTGCGGAGGTGCGTAATGAGGTCAGCGACTGTGGGAAAGGCAACAAGGTCAGGGAAGAGGTACGGTAGCATGAGGCGGCTCAGTGCAGCAGTGGCAGGGGAGGAGTAGCGTACAACTACAGCGTCGTACAAGGTCTGAGCACTCTTGTACTGGCTAAAGTGCGCACGCTCAGAGGTAGGGAGGTGGCGACGCACAGCAAGACGTGCAGCAGCATTGCGCGTGGCCCACTGTGAGTTAACAGTGGCGTCAGCATCAACAGTAGGGGCAGGGGAGGCACCAGAGGTGAGGTCAAAGAGAGAGAGACCGTCTGCCCTATTGCACTGTAGGAAAAGCTGCAGGTCATCTACCCATACGTCAAAGTCAATGGCCCGACCCTCGGCGTCAAAAGTGAGGACACTAGGGGTAGCCATGACAGCAGTAGACTAGCAGCTCGAACAGTAGGGTAAGGGCAGTGAAGTGACAGAGGCGCTGCTCTTACCGGACAAGGCGGCTCGGGCGGCTCGGGCGGCTCGGCGGCTCGGCAACTCTGCGGCTCGGGCGGCTCGGGCGGCTCGGCAACTCGGCGGCTCGGGCGGCTCAGGCGGCTCGGCGGTACGGCGGCTCGGCAGCAACTGCGGCTCGGTGACTCGGCGGCTCGGGCGGCTCGGGTGGCTCGGCGGTTCGGGCAGCTCGGACGGCGCGGGCGACTCGGCAGCTCGGGCGGCTCGGGTGGCGGGCGGCTCGGCGGTGACAGCGGGGCCGCTTGGCGGTGACAGCGGGGCCGCTTGGGGACGGTAGCGGGGCCGGCAGAGGCGGCGCCGGGGCCGCACAGGTAGGCGACAGGGCCGGGAAGGTAGGCGCCGGGGCCGCAGGTAGGCGACGGGGCCGCAGGTAGGCGACGGGGCCTCAGGGAGGCGACGGGGCCGCAGGTAGGCGACGGATCCGCAGGTACGCGGGGCCGCAGGTAGGTGGCGTTGCCGCAGGTAGGCGACGGGGCCGCAGGTTGGCGACCGGGCCGCAGGTAGGCGACGGGGCCGCAGGTAGGCGACGGGGCCGCAGGTGGGCGACGGGGCCGCAGGTGGGCGACGGGGCCGCAAGTTGGCGACGGGGCCGCAGGTAGGCGACGGGGCCAGCAAGGGCGGGGCCGGGTCGGGAAGGGCGGCGTCAGGGCCGCGGGGTAGGCGACGGGGCCGTAGGGCGGCGGATCGGGGCCGCGAGGGCGGCGCGACGGGGCCGCGAAGGCGGCGCGACGGGGCCGCGAAGGCGGCGCGACGGGGCTGAGAAGAATTGAACGAGAATGAAATGAGTATGAACGAAGTGAGTACAAATAGGAAACCCTAATTGTGTTGTACCCCCTATGGGATACCCCACTATAGCCTACACAAACAAGTAAGCTATGTGTTCTGACACACCCCCATAGGCAAAGTGGGGGAGAACAAGGGGTCACAAGACCAGTCAAGCAAAGCAAAGCAAAGCTCAGGGTGGATCACAAAGTCACCACGCATTCCGAGCACAAGTTCAAAGGCCACAAGGCCAGTTCACATGCAAGATCATATATAGAGGTATACAAGAGTCAAGCAAGCAAGAGCAAGAGTATATATATGCGAAGGTACAAGC